CAAGTTTTCTAATACTTGCAAGTCTTCCAATCTTTTAGCAGAAAAATTGAAATATTAATGCATTCATTTTCATATCATTTTCCATTCTTATCTTCTTTTCCAATTTCCACAACCAAATTGTAAGGAATAAATTAGAGGTTTTTTTTTTTCCCATTCAACTAGATGCTTTCTGGGAATGCAAATTTTAGCTTTTAAATTAAGAAAAATATCCTATAAATTATCGTTTAGACTTTTTGTGTTCAGTTCATATTGTAACAATGGTGTGTTTCAACATGTTTAAAAGTGCTTTCTAAAAACATATTTTCATAAATTGAGATAAACTTTTCCACCTATTTATTTCATATACTATAAAATCACTCTTAAAATCATAGTTTGATTTCATCAAACATCCCATTTTAGGATGTTTTAATTTGCAAATAATCTTGAAACGACATGTGATGTTTTATAATGACCAGCAATATTGATAAAGACATTGCCCCATTCAAAACGCTAATGTAAAGTCTTCTTCCAAAATATACTCAAGTTCAGTCTTCACTAATTAATGAAATTATTGGAAAAATCAAACGTACACAAACATTTATATGGCTAAAAAATCTATAATACTTCCAAAGTCTTCCCATCTTTTTAATTGAGAAAAATTTGGACTATTAATATATTCATTTTCATATCATTTTCTAATTTCTGGCCACAACCAAATCGTTTAAGCACCTTCAAAAGACACTGGACGCATAAGCAATAAATTATTTTTTTCCCCATTCAATAATAGGTTTTTGTGAATACAACTTTTGGCTTTTAAAATAAGAGAAATATCCTATAAATTATTATTTAGAACTTTTATGTTCAGCTTTATGTTCAGTTCATATATTTGTGACAACATCAATGACATGTGGTGTTCCAGAAAAACTACACGCAATCATATAAATCTTGAAAAATGATCAATTTGATGATGATGTTTTCTCTCTCTCTGTTTTTTTTTTAAGTTTTGGTGATGTTTTTAATTCCAAACGAAAATGTTTGCAAATAATTCACACATAAAACAAATATATATATTTTATTTTAGTTTTGAAATTATCAAATCAATGCACTACCTCATATTCTTAACATAAAAGTTATATAATTAATTTAGAAATATTAAAAAAATTAGTTTAGTTATTTATAATAAATGTTATTTTTCTTAAAATATCATTACTAATCATATATGCATTGGAATTATAATTTGATAGAAATTCCTTAAACGTGCAATGATTATAAGGTTATTTGAGAGCAAAATAAATAAATACTAGAGATAAAGTATACTAGGGTCTTATATTTTAAATTAAATCAAATTTTTAACTAATTCTTAAGCTACTTTGATGAGTACTTAAACTGGTTGCACTGTTATTGACAATATTTCAATCTTTTAGCTTATTAATGGAACTCAACATAAAGCTTCCATCCTTATCATCTCTTTCAATTTCCTTTGGTAGAAGAGATTCTCAACCAAGATTCTCAACTGCAGGTAACCCCTAATTAAAATGATGCAACCCTTTTACTAGTTAAAAGAGGTGCTCAGTGATAATAAGTGATAATAAATCAAGTTATTTTAGCGTGCAACTACTTTATAGGGAAGGGGAGTAATGTAATATATTGTGATAGTAATTGAAACATCAGATTCTCTAAGTACATCACCAATTCATCATAGCTCATTGGAGCAACTTTGGAAAATATTTAACGATACATTTGAATTATTTTATGATGATTTATCTTACAAGCACATCACCAAATGTCTCTGATTTGAAGACCCATTAGCAAAAATCGCCTGGGAGTTTTTTTTTTAAGAAAAAAAATCATTCAGACCTTTTGAAAGAGGCACTACATCAAGTTACCCAATATTTGGTGATCCAAAATCACAATTCAAAATTATGTTTTGTTATGTGATTTAGAGCCCATGTATGTTGGCTCTTGACACAAACAGAAAAGAGGAAGAAACCAATGTTAGTTGAGCCTCTCTTACATGACAAACCAAGATTTAAGTTCCTATTCACATTTAAAATTTGACAATGCCTCCAATATAATTGCTAAGCCAAAAAAAAAAAAAACAAAGAGAAGAGGGAAAAAGTTAATACACGAGCAAATTAAAGAAATTTTGAAGGGGGAAAACTAACAGGTCCTATCTTAGAAAGGCAATGTTAAGTTACTCAACTAGTAACGCCGAAGGTCTAACTTGTAAACCTCAAAGACAGAGCTTCCTCGTTTCATCGCAAAAGACTAAAATTACAGTAAATTTCAATATTTAAACTTACCTACTCTACAAATGATTTATAAGACCCGATAACCATTGTCCCGAGGGGAACGAAAACTAGATAAATAGCAAAAGACAAACATATTTTTTTGTTCACAACATGACTTGCTAAGTTGCTAGAAACCATATATCATATGGTGATCTTTGAGATTATTGTAAACAGATTTTAAATGGGTTGTATATAATAACTAAGATATGTATGATATGATACATCATTGTCTCTGTTCTTCCGAACAACATATGGCAAACTGGAATAGAGCGACTAAAATGTTAGAGAGATGACACTTGTACAATAAATCCAATAATCTGCTTAAAATCAGAAACCCTTTGCAATCCTGTCATTCCATGAGATTTTGTTCGGTGACAACTGGGAAATAGAGAGTAGTGTCATTCTACAAGATTAACCCTTGGCAGAAGCACTGAATCAAGTTACTCAATATTTGGCAATTCTGCACAAACACAATTCAAAACTCTACTCTGCTATGTGATTTTCTCTTCTGGGGTTAGATGATTTTTTTTTTTTTGGTAGCGGGAGAACAAAAGCGGGTCCAGAATGTTGGTTCTCTAAAATCATTTTCTATAAAGAATCAAACATCTTGATGCCTTTACACAAACAGAAAAGAGGGAAAAAGTTAATATATGAGCAAATTAAAGAAATTTTAAGGGGTTGGCTGAAAAAAAGGAAATCTTGAGGGGACAGAAACTAATGGATTCTGTCTCACGAAGGCAATGTTAACTAAGTTGCACCACTGTTAATGCTGGAGGCCCAGGGGTTGTCCGAGCATTCAAAAACCTTGAAAACCTTAAAAACCTTACAATGTCCTCGTTTCATTGTAAGAGACCAAATTACAGTAAATTTCCAGACTGAAAGTTACCTAGTCTAGGAATTATTTATAAAAACCGATAACCATTATGAAAGGGAAACAGGAAAAAGAAAACGAGATAAATATTAAATAGCAAATTGGGTCCTTTGGTATCAAGATAGTATCCACTCTTGTAGTATCAAAACTACATCATAACGGCACCAGCTCAGACATCTTTGGGGTTTGCCGAGGCAAAAAAAAAAAAAAAAAATCAGATAACTAGAACCAACATCCACTCAACACGTAAACCAAATGATTTCTTCATGAAATTTTCACGCCAAAAAATAAGGTTCAATGAAACTCTCATGATTATTGAAAAGAAGCCATTCGAGTTCTGCACCAAAGAAAACAGATCGTAAAAATGATAGAATTCAATAAAAACAAAAAGGATACACCACCCCAAAAAAGTAGAAGCCCCAATGTCAAACCCAATAACTCTTGTTCAGGTGACTCCAGTAGAGATTCCAACACAAATGGACAGATTTTTCTAGACATCAAACATAGTAAAAAAAAATGAACTTCTGTCTTCATATCATGTGAAAAACATGATTTGCTAAGTTGCTGTAAATTATATGTATGTTGATCTTTGAGAATATTGTAAATAGATTTCAAATAGGTTGTACAGAATAACTAAGATATGTATGATATAATATACCAATGTCTCTGTTTTTTGCTTTTCCCGAACAGCATATGCCAAAATGGAACAGAGCGACTAAAATGTCAGAGTGATGACAATTGTACAATAAATCCAATAATCTATTTAAAATCGGAAACCCTTTCCAATCCTGTAATTCCATAAGACTTTGTTCAGTGACAACCGGGAAATACTGAGATAGAGAGCCTGTCATTCTACAAGATTAACCATCGGCTTAGTGACATATGATCTTTTTCTGGGGAGGCGCTTTACAGAGGTAAACTGTTAGAGTGCTTGACCGCCTTAAATGTCACAAACATACATAAGGAGAAGTGAGATCCAAGACTCCTACGAAAATAGAATTGTAATCAATTCCAAGCATTTTAAATGTAGGAAATAGAGTTGTACTTGAGTAAAAGCCTCAAGCAACTTCCATAAGTTGTTGCCAACTTGTGCCGTATCTTTGTCAGATGGAATAACTAAATCTTAAGTGCCTGGGCATCACATCCCAATGTATTATCTAGAACACTGAAAATGAAAGATATCAGTGCCCAAATTGCCCCCAAGATCATTCCAGTGCCAACGTCTTCTTATCAAGGAGAGTAACTGTCTAATTGATAAATCAAACTAAAAGTAGAACATAGCACCTAAATAACATTTCAAAGAAGCAAGTGAAATGGTCAGGTCGAAACCAACAAACACAAAATGTAAGTTTCAAGTGCATGTAGGACCAAATTCTCAACTGAAAGAATATTGAATTCTGTTCTCAACATTCTTTTACCAATTCCAGGATTAACTTCAGTATAGACGCGGTGGTTTATAACAATATGAACACCAATCATAATTACGTTAGAATGTGTTCCTTTAGTATATTCTATATCAATCATGCTTTAATAAATCAGAAGGCAGAAACACAACCTTCTATTGAGTGGCATTCGCAAGTTAATCATAAGCAGTGTAAATAAATTTTATGACAGCCAACGAACAAAAAGGGTTAGCCCAAAAGAGAGGAACCTTCATGATATACTTAAAACAAAATCTGCTGGAGGACACGAGAAGAAAAACATACAATATGGAACCAAGGACACTTCTCTACTCAGCAGAAGTTTAGCTTTTACATTCACTTCTCCACTTTCCTTCTTCTTCTTCTTGCCAGAAACTTCATCCTTAGTAGGTAAATCATTTTCCTTCTTTCTCCTAGAAGACAAGCCATCTTTCTTACTTTTGTCCTTGTTCTTCGCCGCCTTCTTCAATTTTTTTCTCACTATTCAGCTCACTAACAACCTCTTTGTCAGTTTTTGATCCATTCCTTTTCTTCTTATCTAGCACTGTTTCAATAGTCATTTCATCATTCTCATCACCTTCTTCTTCTACATCCCCATCTTCCTCAACACCTGACTCATCTTGACTGAGTTCGTGACCTATAGTATCATCCATGTACCGAACCTCGTGGATCCTCCCCTTCTTCTTACCAACTTTAAGATCCTTCTTAGCCACATCCTTCTCCTGATCTTGCATATCCTCATCCTCTTCTTTAGCTTCCTCTTTGCTCTTAGCTCCCTCAACATTCAATTTCATATCAGGAATTACCTGATAAAGCGGGCAACGCGAGCGAATCCAACAATTTCAAATGAAAAGACCGCACAGAACCCCACCCCTTTGGCATGAGCTCTACGATTCCATTGCTTGCCGCAGCCACGTTAGCAACAATCTCGTCCCTCTCCATTGACACTTTGGCAACTCTCACCACACTACACGTACCTGACCTGAGGAACAAGAACGCGGACGAGCATGCCCTCTCAATCTGCTCCTTCCAATTTTTACGTAGAACAACACATCCTAATTATTTTATGATCATTTTTCTAACATGCACGTCACCAAATGTCTCACCAATTCGTCATACTCGCGTGTTTCTGTGCATATGATTTGAGCCAAGTTTGTTATTTAATGTTTATTATGCTTAATAGCTGAGAGATTATATTATTTGATTACGTAACCTACCAAGGCATGACTCTGTTATTTCAAACAGTATATACCACAATGGAGCAGAGCATCTCAAGTGTCAAAACAGAATGTTATTATCAGATTATTTGATATTTGATATTTGATTTGATTCACTGTGTCCCAAGTTTCAAGTTTTGATACCTGAAATCTTTAAATACAGAGGCATATAATATCTTTTTACTTTGTACATTCATATATCACATGGAACACCATTCATCAAAAGGTTTCTTAACAACATGAGACACATAATTGTTATTACAACACGTTCTCTTCTCACAATTCACTAAAGTTCAGATAACAAAAGGGCAACTGAAAGGTTTGACCATGCTTTCTTGCAGCAGAACTCCTTATTCCTTGAAGCAGAACTCAGTATTTGAATAACGATCAGAGTGGTGATAGTTATTTCACTTGCATTCGATAGGCAAACCATATTGAAAAATAAACAAGATATAACATAATCAGCTAAAGAACCATATTTTTTTAAGTAAAGGAAGCTAATTTAAATAATAACAACACTTGAAAAAAGCAAAGAAGCTCATTTATTACCTCAAGGGATATTTTTTACTATTAGTCAGCTGAAGCTTTTGAAGAAGAGGGCCAAGGCAACATAAAGTTGATCACCCAAGTGATCATACCATCGGAAAAATTTGTATCTCCATGATCTGATGAGGAAGAGAGAACCATAAGCTCCCCAAAAACCTGCTGCAAATCCAACCCCCATACCACGAAACAATGACTTTAGAAAGCTGTCATCTTAATCTCCTTCAGCTAGCTTTGAGTCATGAGTTTCTTCTTCATTATTGCACTTATTTGGAAGAGGATCTCCACAAAGTTCAGGATTGCCAACTAAACTCCAGGAATCAAAACTTTGAATTTGGGTTCCCAATGGAATTTGTCCAACGAAATTGTTGTATGAGAGGTTCAAATAATCAAGAAAGACAAATTGGATATTGCTGAAGGAATTTATCCAAAAAATTTATTGTAGCTAAGATCAAGAGATTCCAATTTCATGCCTCCAATTTCTTTGGGAATTTTCCTAGTCAAATAGTTTCAAGACAAGTTCAAAGACTGTATTTGACTGTTACTAATTAGTTTTTCAGGAATTTCTCCACTCAAACTATTAGCAGAAAAATCAATTATGCCACTCGTAGAATATGCAAGACGGTTAAATGATTGGTAGTCAAATTCTCTTCCTTTCATAAATATTTTCAAGATTTCACCAGGCAACACTGCCACAAAAGCAAAATCTGAAGGCACGATGTTGAATAGGCAGTGAGGTATGGATCCTTATTTTCAGCCAGATCAAGTATTGTCAAATGAGAAAGGTTGCATAATTGTAATGGAATACTGCCCACAAATTGATTGGCCCTCAATTTAATAACTGCCAAATTTTGCGCTACGAGATTTTGCAAACTTCTAGAAAATTTATTTTGCTCTAAAATGAGGTAATTCAAATCGGTCCAATTTAGCATGTCGAACGAAAATTTGCCAAAGAAACTATTATAACCCAAATCCAACAAACGAAGGTTCAATGAAGCCAGTGAGGGAGGAAGTTCACCTATCAGCTTATTACTCCCTAAATTAAGGCAACCTAATTGTTTCCAATTGGTGAAGCAATCAGGAAGTTCTCCGCCCGAATGATTATATGATAAGTCCAAGTATTGCAACACGCTCTCTCCCTTGCTCTCTAGTTGGCAAAATAATGAGAAAATAGATCTGACAAAGAATTGTGAGATGCATCAAAGATAGAGATATTTGCTGATAGTGAGACGTTGGATATGTCATCACTAATGAAGTTGTTTGAGATATCAACAGAATGTATTCCCACTACAAAACTCCAAAATATATCTGCATCAATTTTTGAAATCCCAGATCTAGAAATATCTAGATTTCTTAAAGACCGCTGCGTATATAGCCATGGTGGAATATTAGGACCTATGCTTGCGTTACTCATCTGCAACATCTCGAGTTGAAATGGTGGGACCCATTTAGGATCAAAGTGAATTTGGAAATTTGTTGAACTTAAGTCCAATGATGTTAAATTTGAGAGATTGGCAAAATTCTTTTCAGAAAGAATGCCTATCCATGGATTGTCATTGATGTATAAATCACTTAAGTTATGAAGTTGTCCCAAGGTTTCTGGAAGATCGCCGTTCAATTGATTGTGGGACAAGTCTAAGTAGAGCAAGGAAGAAAGGTTTCCAAGAGATGATGGAATTATGCCATGGAAAAAATTCTGATTTATATTTAAGTATTGCAATTGTTCATATTGGCCTAACCAATCTGGAATTGATCATTCGAGATTATTATGCCCTAAATCTAAATACTTGAGATTTTGAAGATTGAGCAAAGACTTTGGCAATTGTCCATAGAAATTGCATTGAACAAGGTTAAGATTATAGATGTGACTGGCAATATTAAAGAATGAATCATGTAATTTTGACTTCATCATGTCATAGTTGAAAGAAAGATCAAGAACTTCAAGTGACGTAAAATTGGCATAATCAAGGGAAGGAAAATCTCTTAATCCACAATATCTCAAGTGTAACTTAGAGAGTGAAGGAAGCATGGCTATATGCTGGAGCCATTTGGTATCATTTCCTATATCAACATAACTTAGGTCAAGATATTTTATGGAAGAAAGTTGAGAAAGCCAATGAAGGTCTTTTATGCCTAAATCATAATTATATGAAAAGTCAAGATAACGCAGAGCAACAGAGAAACTTGCTGAGTGATTGGAAGGAATAGCAAGTGATTGATTGTGAAATTTGTGAGCACCAAAGGGAGATTTGGAGATTTGGCATGGTGGCATACTCACAGATTTAAAGTCATTGAAGCTCAAGTCCATGAGGTTGAGAAATTCAAGTTGAAGCACACACAGATTAATCTCACCTTCTAAACCATGATCGATAAGAGAAAGCTTTGTGACTCTTCCAGTGATGTGGTCGCAGTGAACTCCCTCCCATAAACAGCAGTCCAAGAAGAGAGTTTGTTGTATGGATCAACCACTCCATGTTTGAAGATTAAAAGCAACTTTTTATCATTTTCATTGCAACTCATCACCTTGTTTAATGTTGTTGCAAATAACAGAAACAAAAGAAAAAAAATATTTGTGAAGCGAAGCTCGCCATTAATTTTATTTATTCTCGTTTTACTCCAGAAATGAATAAATTAATTGAGATAATTGAAATTTGAATAACTATATATATGTGCTGTAGTGATTTTCTTGTATAATAAATTGGACAAAATTTGCCCCAAACACGCCACAAATTAAAGTCATACCTCTCTAATTCAATTCATATTATATGTTGAAATAACAAAACAGATGAAAGTTGCAAAACGAAACTGTCCTCGTGATTTGCTGGAGTAGAATGAACTCAATTAAGCCTTTATTTATAAGGTCAGGATGTTTATAAGTTGTGAAAATTATTGCAAACAAATTGCCGCTTAAAAATATCGGAAAATCAAAATAAACAAATATTTAAATACCCAAAAAGAATTCCATAACCACATCTTTTTTTAAGTCAGGTCTTCTAATACTTCCAAGTCTTCTCATCTTTTCAAAGAAAAGTTGAAACATTAATAAATTCATTTTTCACAACTAAAGTAAAAGTTTCTTAAACAACAAATTAAAGATTTTTTTCCATGACATATAATATAAATAGACCATTCACTTAGAGGCGATATGCGAATACAACTTTTAGCTTTTAAAAAATAAAAAAAAATACATCCTATAAATTGTTAATCAAACCTTTTGTGTTCAGTTCATATTATTATTAACAACATCAACGACAAGGTGTCGCAGAGATACTGCACACAATAATATATATCTTGAAATTCATCAATAGTTTGGGGGCATGTTTTTTCATTTCAAAACGAGAATTTTTGCAAATTATTCAAACTAAGTCAAATATTTATTTATTGAAAGAAAAATAATCAGTATTATTTTTTATTTTAGCTATGAAATGAACAAATTAATTAATTATATATAATCTTGGAATAAATATCCATTATTTTTGCCTCATAAGTTTTTTTTGGGTCAAGCATCATAAGTTTGATTTATATGGAAATTTCTTTACGCGGACAAATTTCTCAAGTAATAATATATTCTTTTTTATTAAAATAAATACTATATTCCATAGGTCCTTCGTTTTAGTTGTCAAATGTTTTCCACCGGCGTGTAATTTACTTTCTTATTGTCAAGTCTACTAATAATATTTCCAAGTCTTCCCGTCTTTTCCATAGAAATCGTGTCATGAATCCAATTACTCCACATCATGTTACCTGCCTTGGCTTATATTCTTTTTTTTTTTTTTCAATTTCCAAAACCAAGTTGAATTAGTGGATATTTTTAACTACATCTTTTCTTTTAACATCGTCAATAAGAAAATACCATAGATATAATCTGTTATATGCTTAGATCCTTTTAAATTTGGTAGGTGTTAGGGAAAATTGGAGGCAATTACGTATAACAATATTGAGGGCCAAGAGCTCAGTGATTTTTTATTGTAAAAATGTTTTAGTAAACAAACCAAACCCCATATTATGACTCATAAATAAAATAACTTATTATC